GAATGAACATGTGTGTTGTGATTATCCTGTCCCATTTTGCCATTGTATTGGATATGTGGGAGAAGATGACTTGTCTTTTTAATTTACTTGTCTCTGGTCAGGAAAATCCATGTCTAGACCAGACAGGGCGAGAACAGCGTATCACCCAGAAATCCTGGACATTGAGCTTGATGCTATAATCAAAAGAAACTTGGAAGTTTCATCTTGGAGATAGTGTGAGTGTTCTAACGATGGGGGAAGGAGAGTGAGTTGAATATTTAGTGACCAGCAGAGTGGTGGCCGTTGATGTGATTCACCAAGTATTTCTGGCTTCCTTCTTTCTGGGCTTATGAGATTACACTTTTCTTTCTTTCTTTTTTTTTTTTTTTGGAGAGGTTTTCACTATAGGGCACGTGCGCTCATCAGACAGACAGAGAGAGACATAGAGACAGAAAGCGAGAAATCACTCCCCAGCAGGGATGGTCATGCTGCAATCCCTTCTCCTCCATTCTCCTCTCGAGATCTTGGCCACGCACGCACACGTACCCGGCGTGAGTTTTAAGCCACCGGGTACAGGACGCGAACCGCGGTCGACTATGTGGGAGTCCAGTGACATAGCCATTACGCTAACTACTGATTCCCAGATTACACTTTTCTGTCCACTGGCCTCGAATGGGATAATATCACTTTGGCCAATGAAATGTGATGTGTGTTATTTTTGCATAGAAGCTCTAAGAGAGGTGGTGTGTGATTTGCCATGCCTGCAGTTTCCTCTTCCATAGTGACCAGTAAGATTACAGGTAGAGGCAGCCCCGTTGGCTGTTGGCCTGGAGTGGTAATGAAGTAGAGAAGAGTCCAGAGTGACTCATGTGGACATGTAGCAGAAGTAGAAAGCAAACCTTTGTGGTTTTTAATTCACCAAGATTTGAGTGTTTTTAATCACAGCCTGACCTGGGTTTTCTGACTGATAGTACAGTGAAGTTGATTCCATGCATAAGACATAGATTATATATGGAGGCCTGCAGTGTCCTTGGTGTGTCAGAGTGAATAGTTTGGTGCATAAGGAGAGCAGAGTTCCTGAAGAAAGGGAGAGATGGTGGGGCACTTTCATGTCATGGAGAGGAGTGCTGATCTTATTCTGCAGATAGAGGGTTCAGGGTGGTAGAGTGGTGGGGAGACATGGTTAGTGAGTAGAGGAACAGCAGAGTGGAACAAATGAGGCTTATTAGGGGACTGCTGTGAGAAGCTACTAGGACCCAAACTAGACAGTGCTTATGGAAGTAAAAAAAAAACCAACAAGTGATGGACAATGTAGAGGTCACATTGACACTACTTGATGATCAAGTGAAGATGAGTGGTGAGAGTCAGTGATGGGTTCAAGGTGACTCTGAGGTAATGAGGGGATCTCAGGGAGCTTAGCTTGGCTTTGGCCCTGTGTTCACTGTAGCAATTTTCAGCAATGGCCTGATTAGAAGTCAAGAATGATCGTCTTGTCCGGAGTTGGGAATGCAGAGGTGATTGATTATTTGGTTGCTAAAACTGAGGTTGATCTGTTTCCTTTTTCTCACTCTTTTTCTTTCCCTCATTGGGAGGAGATGAGTGACATAGCCATTCTTATCAGTACTTTTTTTACTTTATTTTCTCCTCTGAAATGTTGGAAAGGCTAGCAAAATGGCCCTCAGATGAGGTTTTCACCAGAGAAGAGAACAGCACTTGTCAAAATTCAGTTGTTCCAAACATTTTTGGGTGTAGAAGAGATAGGAGAGAAAAGTGAAACCCAAACCAATAGGATTTTGTGGATTTTCACAGCATTTCAAAGACATTTACACAATCTAATCATAGTGCTGAGGAAACCAAGATTCTGTTAAAAAAATTGTAAGAGGAGAATTCTTAGTCCATCTGTGAAAAGTCAGGAGCATCTTCAGATGTTTACGCCCTACTGAAATGATACATTATGTGAAAGACGCCAGGTCACTGGTTCCCTGACTTCACCTGCCTCTTAGCTCTACCCCAGTCCCTAGGTGCATCACTCCCATGGTTTATTATTTTGCAAGGTGTAGTTGTTCTTTTTTTTTTTTTTAACTTCTTAGATTCCTTTGCATCCCGTACCCACTTTTTTTGAATAAGGTTGCATTTCTTTTTATGCCCTGCCCCAGTGAAATATCTCCCAGTGGGAACAGATGCCCTCAGTGGGACAGTCACCAAAAATCTACATATCTGGATCAGTTTCATCATCTACAGCAGAACTTCTCAAGTGAGGGCTACAGACAAACAACATCAGCATCACCTGGGGAGTGTGTTAGAGTTGTTGTGCATTTTCAGGCTTCCACATAGGACCTAGGAAGTGGGGCTAAGCAATCTGGGTTTGTTTGTTTGTTTGTTTGAAGAGTTTATTAATTTATTTCTTGAGCGAGAGAAATAGAGAGGGGGGCACTCCCAACAGGGTCTCCATGCCATGATCCAACCCTAGTCCCAATTGTGCTAGATCATAAGGAGGATATGAACCCAGGAACTTTCCCATGTGGGTTTAGCCACACTAACATTTGGCCCCACAATACTTTTTTTTTTTTTTGAGAGGTTTTTGCTATAGGGCACATGCACTTGCCAGACAGACAGAGACAGAGAGACAGAAAGCAAGAAATTACCCCCTAGGGGGGATGACCACAATGCAATCCCTCCTCCTCCATTCTCCTCTCAGGATCTTGGGCACTCACGCACACGTGCCTGGTGTGAGTTTTAAGCCACACCAGGGTCCGGGACTTGAACTGCGGTCGACTACGTGGGAGTCCAGTGACATAGCCATTACGCTAACTGCCAGTCCCCACAATCCATTTTTAATAAGTCCCCCAGATAACTCTGAAGCACACAATTATTTGAGGATCACTGGTCTTGGGAAACTTACTTCATAGATATGACCCATTCTCATTGGTGTGGTGAGATTTAGAGATGATTTGCTGATGAATTACCAACAGGAGAAGTCATGAGACATGGATATTGTGGAGCAAATCATTTCTCTGCCTTACTTAGCTTCTTTATCATTGAGACAAGGCAGTTGGACTGGTCAGCAGTTCTAGTCTAGAGACCTTTAAAACAGTATGAGAGACTCATCAATAATTTCTAACAATTAAGAAAGTTTTATAGAAATTGTTTCCCCTCAGGATGTTGCATGGAGGGACCCATATATACTGTTCGTTACTTTGGGGCCAAAATAAGCTTCATGTGGTCACTCATGTTCATATTTCCAGGCTCATCACAGGATCTGGCCCAATGAAAGTCTTTCAAGTAATGTTTTCTGAACTAAGTTTTAAGAGGAGACTTTAAAATTTTTTGAAAAAAAAAATGGAATTAATGTCTGAGGTTATTTTGGTGCAAAAAAAAAAAAAAAAAGTAAGGGTTGACTCTGGGCTGGTGGGTAAGGCAGATGGATCCCACCTGGCCAACTGCTTTGACCCTAGACCCCGGGGATTTGTGAAACATAGTGGGTGCATGTTCCATGTGTGTCCCAAATCCCCAAAGGTGGGAGATACAGAGGAAGAGGGATTGCAGTGTTAACATCTCCCATGGGAGGTGCTTTCTCCTCTCTTTCTGTTTTTCTCTGGTGAACACATATGCCATTCAGCAGAAGGGAAAAAAAAAGAAAAAGAATTAAAAATTCTACACATATTTTTTCTGTAATATACATTTTCACGAACTTTATGAATCAGCATGAAGAATACAGCTTATCCCATGCTGATAATAAGCTCTAATGTTCTTAAGTATGTGTGTCATTTATTGCTACGTCAGAATCCCAGAAATATTAAATGATAGCCAAGACAGAGACCAAGTGGCCTCAACGCTCAACTTGGCTTGTCAGTGCTCCTGTGGATCATGGCCCAGCTTACTTATTCATAAATCTGTGTGTTTCAGTTGTTTATGATTTTCTACTGAAACTGAATGTGCTTCCTTTGGCCCTGTAGGATCCATCTGGGTCACTGACAGGACCCTACTGTGCCCATGTGTGCAGTCTGTTTACTGGCAGTGCCAATTCAGCAGTAAGGCAGGGAAATTGCATTTTAACAGATGGCCAGGCCAGAGGAGGTGTCCTGTGAGCCACATGGGAGAAATTGAAATGGTGCCAGAAACCATGCAGGGTTTAGAAAGGGGCTCTCTTCCTTAGAATCATCAGTCCAAATCTCTGGTATCTTGTTCAGTCCTGAATGTTTTTAAGGGGAGCAGATGAAGACCTCTCTCACTGTGCTGGCGTGTTGGAGGGCAGGAGAAAAGAGATGTCACCTGCTGCTTAAGAACAGAAGTAAGTCAGCAAGACACTGGTGTCCTTCAAACTCTATTGCCTCTTTGCTTGTGAGGTCTGCTAAGCTAATGGCCACCCTTTTAAAATCTGAACTCCAGGGTCAGACACATGAAGGGTAAGAGAACAGACCAAACCTTTATTAGTTCACAGAACTCCAATTCTTTATTAATCACAGCTTGCTCACAATGACATACAGGAAAATAGCACTAATGAAGAGTAAATATGCAGGCAGCAACCTTCAGGAGTTGGGAGTTGGGGGAGAAACGACTTCAAAACTGCGATAGGTACTTATGGTGGGTATCTGGTGATTTTCTTGGTTGGCACGAACACCCTGCCTAGCCCCCTTGACTGCGTCAGCTCCACAGACGGAGTAATTTTTTTTTTTTTTTTATAGGCAGGATTGCCTCACACTGGGGAAGAAAGACCAGCTTGAGTGAAAGTCCGCAGTGTTTTCCTTGTGTGCATGTGTGTATATGTGTTTGTGTCTGTGTGTATGTGTGTTAATGCAACAACCAGCTCACAGTTTCCAAGTGGAAAAATATTCAGTAGCATCATGTACTTGTACTATAGGTAAGAGCTTAAAATGAACATCATCAATCATGGCATCCACAAATAAGCCACCTGACACAGTAATTAATTCATTCCATCAAAAGAACTTAAACTAGAGAATTAAGCCCACTTTACGAAGAGTGATCTCACAGCTGCTGGAACCAGTTGGTTTGGATTTGTGTTCAGCACTTTAAAAGGTTCACCTTTTTGCTTCTACCCAGACTGATCTCAGATCTGTCTTCTCATCCATCCCTCTCTAGAGCTGAAGAACATTTGTAGCACATAATCCAGTAGAAGCAAGAGTAAATGCTATGACTGGTGGGATTTTTTTTTTTTTTAGCCTGGTTTTATAGTTTCTAGGCAGTAAGTAGATTATGAGCGAACAAATGTGGAGGTTCATGTGGAGTCATGAGACCTGTGATCTAGGCATGGTCTTAGTCAAGCTCCGAGATTACAAAGCCATCCTGGTCATTAAGCAATGGTGGGTTTCTAGCACCATAGACTGTCTACTGACCTCATTGTTCTGTTGGAATGAAAAGGGCAGGGAGTGGAGTTAGACATGGGGAGCTTCAACAAGAACAGACCTAGCAAATTCATTTGAGTGGAAAGACACAACATCAAAAGCCTGTTACAGGACATGTAAGATTATGAAATAACTTGCATAATGCAATACTTGTATTTTTTAACAAAAATGTAAGTATTTACAAAATAAGATCCAAGGTATTTTTTAAACATCAAGCAAAACATTCTGCAAAGAGACCGCATTGATTTTTTTTTATTTTTGATTCTGTTTTTTGTTTTTTATAATGAGTTCTTTTTAAACCATGTCATACATTTCCCATACTGATATCGCATGATCCATTATAATATAGGCAGGGGGATTTACTATTGGTGGGGCGTGCCATACCCTCCATCGCCTCAGCCAGACAGTTCGACCTGGAGTTCCTTGTTCCTGCGCACCTCTGCAGCATGCCTCTCCTGAAAAACACCAGAGGGAGAAGAAATGTCGCCATGGTCTAGTCTGGTTCACAAAGAACTAGGAATACACTTGACTGGAAGTAATAACTTGGTTTAATTTCAACCTTTAGCAATTTAAATAAAGGCCCAAAGAAATGCACATTTAAAAAGATCTTACAAGACTTAATGATATCTTTAGAAATATATTAAACTTTTTTTGTTAAAACTATGATCAAAAGGTCATATGATCAAGGGATTTTTGAATGATTACTGCGAAAATCCAGAGAATAGCAATAAAATATGATGTTGCTGATTTTCCTATCTTTTTTTTTTTTCTTTATGGGAGAAAAGGAGAGATTTAGAGATTGGTGTTTTTGACAAATGCTCACTGTGTTGTGGCCCTCCTGTCTTAGCCTCCCGACTAGTTAGGATTACAGGCATGTACAATGAGGCCCCCGTGTGTTCAGATTGGGACAGGAACTGAATCCCCACTACCCATGTGGCTTCTAGCCTCCCACAGCCTCTACACAGGTAGCACCATGGCTGGGTTCCTATCATTTTTAGGGGTGTTTTTCCTTTTCCCTATTAGTTTTAGGGACTTTATAATTGCTGATGGACACTTTGAGAGGATTAAATACAGAAAGAAGACCTTTTGCATTGTTTTCTAAACTCTTGACGTCTTTCCTAAGGCCCTTCACAGTTTGAATCCAAATGACTTTCCAGTTTTACTCTCCACCCTTTATCTTACACATACTTGAAGTTTCGATTTAATGAAACTTTTTTAAATTTAGTTTTTAATGTATGAAATTCCTAGCCCTCCATCTCCATTGATCAGGATTATAAACTTACTGTTTTCATCCTGTGGAAGTTGTCCCTTATTCCTGCAAGATTTACCAGACCACAAAATTAAGTAATCTCAACACACTTAATAGATACAAAAATTAAGTTATCTGCTGATAATGCTGATAATAATGTGTATGTAATGTCTTTAACTTGACTAACATGAATACTACTATAATACAGTATTCATGCTGCCGAAAACCATATTGCACACTGTAAAGCTATACAGTGATTAAATGTAAAAAAATTAAGTAATTTCATTTTCTATTTGAACACCTGCATAAATTCTTCCATTTATGTGGCAGCTATTTTATTCTAACTTGTATCAGGAGCATTTCTATCCTTGTCTCGTCTGCTATATTTGAGCATAAACTCACCGAGGGCCTGGACTGTGCTTTCTCACTCTTGTTCCACTTGCAGAGCCTAGCAGAGTGCTCTGTATGCAACATGAGATTGTGGATGGCTATTTACATGAATCAAAGCACTAACCTGGATGAGAAATTAATTTCCTGAGGAAGGAACTGAGGAAGGAAAGGGGAATTCAGTATTTTTCAGTCCATGGTTCTACATAAGTACATTGTCTTGCATATCGTAAGTGCTAAACTAATGTTTAAATTAAAATTTGAAAATGCTAATTATTAATAGTATTATTTATTTTTATATTTAAAATGTTGTTTATATTACTTCTCCCCCCTCAGGGCTGGCAGGTGGCGTGGTGGTTAAAGGTGCTGGATTCCCACATGGCCAACTGTGGTTTGAATCCTGGACCTGGTGGCTTGCTTTCTTGCTTTCCCTTTCTCTCTCTCTCTGTCT